TTAATTATTTTTGAATGTTTGAATGTATCCATATAATGTGCAATGGGACAAATAATAATAATAATAATAATAATAATAATAATAATACATTTTATTTATAACACACTTTACATTTCAGAGAAAATCTCTAAGTGCTACAAAACCTCAGCAATCTAAAAAAAGAGCTCCTCTTCCGCTACCGCCTGCAGAGCTTGGCATGCCGAGGAACCATCATCATGAAGCCCAATTGCCAGACCTGCTCCCATTGCCGCGGGGATTCTAATTGGCCGGGGTTCTCCCTGGAGGAAGTACAGAAAGCCCTGCTCCACCTCTTCAACGAGATCAAGAACAACTGCTATGGTTCTCTACACCAAACCCCATGAGAGCGCGCTATGCAAAGCCAGCAGTCACAACATCTACTGCCAGAATGAGTAGTGCCTGCGGGGCCGAGCACAGGAAGGCAGGCATTCTGCAGGCCTAACTCTCTGTAGAAGGGACATGGGCTGGGGGATTGTGTGCTGCTTTGGGAACTGTCCTTTTTACCTGATAAATAACCAGCAAAGAAAAACTCAGTTTCGAACAACTTTAATAAATTAATTTAAATTAAAATAGTAAACCTTAATTTTGTTCAAATTAGTACTTACTAAGCATTGCAGTTATGCATATAGTGAATCAACAAAATTTAGTCTTAGAAGATTTTTAAAAATGTTAACCAACTGACCATAACAAGGCAAGAGCCAAAACGGCAACGGAAATGAAAGCATGACTCTTCTGTGCTGAAAGCAGCTTCCAAGTGGCTGCTGGGTCACGTGCTGACGAAGCGTTTCTCTGCCGAGGAATGAAAGTTTTGGGTGAAACCAGACACGTTCCTCCCTGCACCACCAAAAAGGGGGTCGACATCCATGCAACTACATTGACAATAAAATTATAATAAAATACTTACAGAAATAACAGGAGGGTATGCACTCTCGCCCCTGTGTTACAAAATGGGCATTATAGGCATAATATTAATTTAAAACATGCCTAAACATCTGGACTGTGATGGGAGGTGCGGGTCAGGTCAGGTTGGGTTGGGTTGGGCTGGGCGGTGGCTCTGAGGCTAGAGATCTGTGCCAGCAATCTGAGGGTGGCTGGTTTGAATCCTGTAAATGCTAGGAGTGGTCCTGCTCTGTTGGGCCCTTGAGCAAAGCCCTTAACCTGCAATTTCTTTATCCTGGGTATGACGTTAATCTACATCCAGCCCTATAAGCAGGTCCTCCAACTTACAGGGGGAATTTGGGGGTTGGTGGCAGGATTGGCACTCCAGCCACCAGAAAAATATCACACTGTTCCATTCCACTCAAACTAGCCTGGTGCTGAGGTATCGCCCGCCCCATGGCTGCACTGGGGTTCTCATCCCTGAGGTGGGTTGTCCTGTGAGGGTGTGGCAATGTGCTCTAATCAGTGCACCCCCCCACAAAGTGATACAGGAAATGTATCAGGAAAAATGCGGTACTAGAATAGTCTAGATGACTTTTTGTCATCCCCCCTTCTTCCCGATGTTGTCGCTGCTTAATTGAAGAATACTCTATCTATCCTGTGCAGGCAGACCCACGATGGTCTGTGACATCATGGGGAAGGCTTGGTTACTTAACTCCACACTGTTCTGATTTGTTTTTGGTACCACCTCTGAAGCAATCGCCTTTATTGTGCAAACAACATTACAAGCGCAAACAATGACTATAACTGGGCTCCACTATTATTGGCCGCTGAGGGTGTGTGTGCTTACAGCTGGGGGGCGTTTTGTTCTCTGTATTTCAGTGAATCTTCCTGGTCTCTGTCAGGATGGAAACAAGTTTTGTGTAGATCAGAAACAACCCGTAAGTGTGGCAGTAATACACAAAATTGCTTAAATTTGTTGTGGACAAAAATATTCAGATTGGGAGCCATTTCTGCGTAGCTTCCTCTGCTGGATTCCCACCGAGTCTAAAATACTGCTGTCCGGAACATGACTCCTGTAAGCGCTTTCATTTTAGTGACTTTCGTGGCTTTGTGTGGCTCTAAGGGCGCACTGAGCGGCAATGTGCTGGTGGTGCCAGGAGAGTACAGCCACTGGCTCAACATGCGTGCCATGCTGGAGGAGCTGGTGAACCGCAATCACAGCGTCACCGTGCTGGTGAATTCCGCCTCCCCGACGGTGGACTACACCCGCCCGGAGCGCTTCCACTTCGAGGTCTTCCAAGTGCCTTTCAGCAAGAGTTCAGAATTTCTCTGTTCTTGTACATTGATGGCTTGAGGTGTCAAACCCTCTAGGGTCATCCAGGAAGAAGCACATGCTATGCAGAATTTATTTGGCATATTTGCTTGGCAATCTCCACCCCAAATATCGCTCCTCACTTCATGCCATTCTGCTTGCACTGCTGTCCAAGGTCAGCGCCATTAAGGAATATGGCTATGATGAAGTCCTTCGCCCTCTTGTTAAGGACCTTGTGTCTCTTGAGAGTCAAGGTGTGTATGTTGAGCAGTTAGGAGCCAGCATTAGAGGAACTGTATCATTTGTTGCTGTTGACAATCTTGCTGCTCATCCTTTGGGCGGATTCTTTGAAAGCTTTACAGTAAGTCACGTGTGTCGATTCTGTATGGCTACGCATGAGGAAATACAGCACAAAGAAATGCAGTCAGGCGCATTCCAAGAAAGAACAAAAGAAAGGCATGATCAGCTTGTGCAAGAGTTACTGCAGGATGCAACCTTGGGTCAACAATATGGTGTAAAAGAAGCTGCATGCTGAGTGAAAGCTTGACGCACTTTCATGTTGTTAATGGTCTCCCACCAGACCTTTTGCACGACCTTTTGGAGGTCATAGTTCCTTTTGAGTTGGCCTTATGTTTAAAGGCACTGATAGCAAAAGCATACTTTTCACTTTTTGATTTGAATATGGCCATCAAGCAGTTTCCTTATTCGTTTTCTGAAAAAACAAACCAACCTCAGGTCATCAGGAAAACATTTGCCTCCCAGGGAACAATTGTGAGAAATGGCCATGAAAATTGGGCTCTTCTTCGACTTCTACCTCTTTTGATAGGCCACCGCATTCCAGAGGGCGACCAGGTTTGGGAGGTTTTGATGCTCTTGGAAGATGTAGTGGAGTTGTCATTGTCCCCAGGTATCATAGAGCAGCCTGTGTACTTCCTGCAGAGCAAAATTTCAGAACAAAGAGATGCATTATAAAGAGCATTCCCAGACGAAAGACTATGACCTAAGCCAGGGGTGTCCAATCTTATCCGCAAAGGGCCGCTGTGTGTGCGGGTTTTCGCTGCAACTCCCTAATTAGATTACTAATTAGAGGACTGATTAGCTGAAGAGTCCTCACACCTGGGTTTGAACAGCTGACCTACAGGTTATCCCAAAAACCTGCATACACACCGGCCCTTTGCGGATAAGATTGGACACCCCTGACCTAAGCACTGCTATGTGGAGATTACTCAGAGCTCATTAACGTGTTTGGGCCTCTTTCTCAGGTGTGGACAATGCGCTTTGAAAGAAAAAGCTGTCCGTCACACCAACAATTTCAAGAACATAGCCCTCCCTCAAGCTGTGAGGCATCAGAAAATGATGGCATTCCATCTCTCTGCCACCTCCTTTTTTAAATTGTCCACTGAGCTTACAAAAGTGAAGTCTGTGATGATTTCTTCATTTTCTGAAAATGTCCAGAGCCCGACAGAGCACAGTCCTTGTAGCCTCCTCTGCATGCTTAGATGATGTTAAGTATAGTGCAACTGGTGACACGGTGGCGCAGTGGTTAGCACTGCTGCCTCATAGCAAGAAGGTCCTGTCATGCCCACACGGGTGGGACCAAGCACCTGCAGATGATTAACAACTAATCGTTCCCCTTCTTACGCCGGTAAACTGGTGCAAAATATTTTTGCCATTTCTAATGAGCTGTACTGAGCGTTTTCTCTGTCTCTTGTCTTCCCTACCTGCCCTGCATGCTGTGTCCTGCCTGCCCTGCCCTGCCTGCTCCTTCCTGCCCTGCTGTCCCGTCGATCCTGTTCCTCCCTTCCCGTCGTCACCCCATCTCATCCTTCCGTGTAGGACTGATCTCACCGGTGACCGACTTCTGCCTGCATCCCGACCTCTCTTTGGGATCTCCCTTTTGGACTTGTTTGCTTTGTTTATTAAATAATAAACCTTTTGGCCACTGCATTTTGGGGTCTGCCTCCTCCATCCTTACTGTTCATCACAGGTCCTGGGTTCACACGCTCTCCCTGTGTTTGCATGGGTTTTCACCAGGGACTCTGGTGTCCTCTCACAGTCCAAAGGCGTGCAGGGTGGGCTGATTGGCGTGTCTCAAATGGCCCTGTAGTTCTGTGAGTGTGTGTGCCTTGTGGTGTGTTGGCACTCACCCAGGGTTGGTTCCTGTCTGCGCCTGTAGTTCCTGGGATAGGCTCCGGGCCCCCCTGTGGGGATTAAGTGGTCATGATCATGGATGGATGGTTGGAAGTATAGTGTGGACATGATGGTTTCAGTTGGTTCATGTTCTGGGCTCCCAGATTTCAGAATGATAACAAAGATTGTGGTAATCAACACTAACATTGTGTGTAACATTGCATGCATGCAACGAAACTGGAAAATTTAAAAACCAAGTTGGGCGAAGGCTGGAAATCCTACATCAATGTATTTGCTCAGTTTTATCTAACATGAGTATAAAATGTATGTCAATGTAGCAGGTGGAGATCCTTTGATTTGTGGGGTTGTGTTGTGTGCTCAGTCTGTTAATCAATTATCCACATGAGGGCACCTTATGTAAGGTTTTGGTGCTCAGCATGACAGGTCCCTGACTTGTCGGCGTTGATACTGCCCACTTCCGGGTCACCCCATTTCCTTCGACTGCGGTTAGTAAGGTAGTAGTAGCAGCTGTTTTGCTTCCTATTCGTTACGTTTTGCAATTGACTGTATGTTTGCTTTCGATAGTGGTGCAGCGAAGTAACTCTGAAGGCAGCGTGTAGCAGAACAGTCTCTTTTCCAGTGTGACACCGGTATGGTCTTTTCCTCTCTTGCGTGTGATGGAGGGCGCTGCCTGAGTGGTACTGTATGTATGCCTCACAGTTATCGGTTTTGCCCTTCGTTTTGGCTGTGGCACATAAACTGTATTTACTTTTCTAATAGATGGTGTCTGGACGATTTAACGGCTGCAAGATTAACGCTGCAGGGACTAAATTTGTAGGACCACTGCTACTCTGTTGGATCTGTTTATGTTTTGGTTTTATGTTTCTTTTCATTTTCATTGTGTTTTGTGTTAAGTGGTTGTTTTGTATTTAATGTTTAAACTTATGTTGAGTTTATTGGTGTTTATTATCTTGTTTGATGTGAATTCTTTTGTTCTCTCTTTTCACAATCTTATGGGAGTGTTCTTTTTTTCCACTTGTGTGTGTGTGTGGCCGGTCATTTTAGCGTTTGTTTAGAACTGGCCAGTGTGGGGTTAGTGTATGGGGGGGGACTGGAGTTTTCTATGTGAGCTGTGCGAGTTTATTTTGGATTAGAGTGAGTTTTGCTGGTTATTTCTGTTTTACGGAGCCCTTACGCCTTGACCATCTATTCCCCACTATCTGACCCCTAGCTCTTATTTGGTGTCATTGGGATGAAGCTTTTGTGCTTTGCTGTGTTTGTAGAGTTTGTGTAATAAAAGTATTATGTTAAGTGGTAACGCGTCTCCTGCCAGGGCATATACCGAACCTGGTTGCCTTATTGTGTTAGAGGAGGAGTAGTTATTTCCTTGGGTGAAATTCCTAGGGTAGCGCCACATTCTGGCGCAATCGTTTGGATTACGCATTAAGGCAGAGTTGTGTCCTCCATTGGTTTTGTTTTGTCTGCCTAAAGTCAGTCATCGTCAGGAACAGATAACACACCGGGGATTTGGGCTCTCTAGATAGGAGGAGGTTGTGCAAAATGGCTGCAGGTTCATATAATAATAATAATAATAATTAATATTTTAATTAATAATAATTCATATTTTGAACGTTCTCCTGTTGTTGAACAATTCTTAGCAACACGGACCATACAACAAACATAAATCAGGCATCGTATCTTTTATAATTATAAAGCTGGTATGTCTGACTTTATACCCTTAACTATCAGGTCAGCTTCCCATTCTCTGGTCGAAAACCTTCGATGAGCTGAAACATGAGCTGCTTCATAACTGGACGCTGAACTACAGCAACAACCTGTCTCACGGTGAGACGATGAGAGGCTGGAGGAAATGGCATCACAGTGCTCATGGAAGGTGAGGCCGCCTTTTCGCAGAAACTGACATGTTTTTAGATGTTTTATTTATTACTATGTATAGTGATTATGCCAGCTTAAAACTACAAAAAACGACCATAAGAAAAAAACAAAGTGAATTTGGTCTGCTAACAGCCGTGACATGATTATTGTTAAAGTTTTCTTTATTGAGTATTTCAACACTTCCAACACATTGTCAAATTATATTTCCAACACTTCCACTTAATTTTACAATTGTTCTAAGACAAAAACAAATTAGAGAAGACAGCTATGTTCAATTTCACGAAAATTATGAACAATTATGACTTTATAAACAGATGTCAGGAATTAAGCGGGAGTATACTGCAGTGGGTCAGTCAGGTGCGAGCGGTTTTTATTAAACAGACTGTAATCCAGAGAAAAAAAAAACAATCATGTTTCCGGGCTCGTGGTCGGTAGACAGGCGGGGGTCGGGCGATCTTCGTAGGAATCCAGGGGGCAAGGCAGGCTCATCAGGCGATCGTCGTCGGCACTTATAGGGCAAGGCTGATATCGCAGTTGGGGAAAACAGATCAGAGTCAGGGTACAAGCATGCAGGCAGAGGCAGTGGTGGAGCTAGACTTTTATTTAAGGGGTGGCCAAAGGGTGAGCAAGGGTTTCTCAGAGGGGTCCATATAAATATGATAAATGAAGGAAAAAAATATTTTTCTGGTACACACTCATAATAAACAATGAGTTTGTAATTGTTTGTTGAATAAACACAACAAACATTTACAAAATCATAAACACCAATCATAAAGACCAAGCCTAACCTAATTATTGAAATTAATGAATCTAGGCAGCTAATTAAACCCTCGCATTACAGTATAGTGAAGCTGATTCAAAGCTTTAATATGACATGAATAGTCTGCTTACATGCAGTAGGAAACTAATGATTGGTTCTCCATATATACACTTACCACACAGACTTCAAGCAAGGGCTAGCTTTGATAAAATAATAGAACAACACTATAATTCAGCATGTGCACTAAAACATACATACGTACAAAGACGCTGTCTAAAAGACGATCTATATCAGCACGAGCAGGGCTCGTGGCTAATTTAAACGAGACATGGATCCGCAGACAGTGCGCAACACTTTCATGCTGCTATTTTTTATGTACTGCAAGTGTGTGACCACCTCTAATTAGGAAGGTAATACAGTATAATATGTTATAAATACCTGCTTAACTCCTGCTGTTATCGATACCGCGGGTGTGGTTTGGATCATGTAGAAACGCGTGCCACTGCCAGAGCTTTTAGCCAATGACATGTCAGTAGGCAGCACGCACAGGGTACTGCTACGTCGGGATGCCTTCAGGGGCACTCGGAAATTACAGTTTTCCGCTCAAATCTTTGCCCGGTTTCTTCATTGGTATATTTTAATGTTTACCATTTCCAGCCGGGTGGCACTGGGGGTGGCAAGGGCTCTGCTGGGGGTGGCAAGGGCTCTGTTGCGGGCGGCAATTGCCACCCCTGCCACCCCTTTGGCTGCGCCCCTGGGCAGAGGTCTAGACAGGTGGTTGGGATACGGGAAAAAAACTGTTAGAACTCGCTAATAAAGCTGAAGATCTCATGTCTGGCTGGCGCGCCAGAAACGAATAAGAAAGACTATCCATTAAACCCGATGAGCTTCAGCTGTCGGAGGGCGGCGTGCTGTAACCGGTTGTCCCGGTTCCCGGAGCCAGCGAGGAGCGAGCAGTTCGGTAGCTGCGACACTCACTTCTCAGCAAACCCCGAGGGCGCAAAAGGGAATCCCCGCGTGACGTCAACGGGGCTTCCTCAGAGCGGTCCATGACAACAGATGTGTTCTTGCGTTTTACTCAACTGATTTACAATGACCCTTTCAGTACCTGTAATAATTATTTTATAATTATATGAATAATTTAAATAGTGTAATATGAGGAATGGACATTGACGACAGGGTATTTTGCGTGCTGAGTGACTGGTCCAGAATGATAGCTCATACATTTAGCAGTATAAGGACCGGCAGACCCCGGCCACAGACATCGACAGTGTGGGTGATAAAGAATCTTCACAGCTCCCGTTTCAGGTTCAGCTGCAGCAGAAGCAGATGTCTCAGGACATGGTCCTCAGTCGAAGCTGTAGTCCTTTTCGGCTACCGCGGGCAGAGAAACATCATTATGCGGCTCTTTGGCCAGCGATGCCCCAATTGCAGGGGTGATTATGAACAGCCGGTGTTCCCCAAGGCGGAAATAGAGAACGTCCTGCGCCGCCTCTTTAAAAAAATCATCAACATCAACTACTCTGAGCAGAACCAGGAGGATGACATAGACCATGGCAACAACAGTTTTGTGGGGGAGGGGAGAGGACAACATAGGAGAAATCTACATGTGTGAGGCCTGCCATCACAATATCTGTCCTTTTTTACCTGATAAATAACCAGCAGTAGGGGTTTTAAACCCTTGTGTCTGTAAGAGTTTTACAAGCTGATTACCCATAAATCACTGTATATAAGCAGACTGACATCTATACTCTGTAAAATAAATTTGAGTTTGAATTCAATATGAAAATCTTTCAGCTTCTGAATTTGACTACATATCAATGCATTTTTAATGCAATAATATATTTCATATTTCTCGTGCTATTGTGTGATGTAAAAATAAAATCCTCATATTAAATAAGATTGAAGAAATCCTGAGCAATATATGCTAATGAAATCTCAATATTTTTTGGAGTAAGGAGTATTGTGGTTAGCACTTGTTAAAAAAAAAATCAGCGGAAAATTGCCAGACAATCTGTCACGGCGGGAGCAACGGAAGGTAGACAGGTTGGAAATTTTATTAAAGACAAAATTAGCAAAAAATTTCAAATGGATACGAGGGGTCACACAAAAGGAAATGGGAGAGACAGGGAGGCAGGGATGGAGTCGGACAGGGGACTGACAGAACCAACACTTAGTGAATGGAAGGTGTCACACTAGAAATCTAGTTTTACTGACGTGGAATGATAAAGTACAAGGGAGCTGTTTGGCTCACAGACTCCTGTCCCCTGGATCCTGTAAGAAAAACTCAGTTTCAAACAACTTTAATGAATTAATTTAAATTAAAATAGTAAACCTTAATTTTGTTCAAATTAGTACTTACTGAGCATAGCAGTTATACATATAGTGAATCAACAAGACTTAGTCTTAGAAGATTTAAAAAAAAAAAAAGTTAACCAACTGATCATAACAAGGCAAGAGCCAAAACGGCAATCGAAATGAAAGCATGACTCTTCTGTGCTGAAAGCAGCTTCCAAATGGCTGCTGGGTCACGTGCTGACGAAGCGTTTCTCTGCCGATTAATGAAAGTTTTGGGTGAAACCAGACACGTTCCTCCCTGCATCACCAAAAAGGGGGTCGACATCCATGCAACTACATTGACAATAAAATTATAATAGAATACTTACAGAAATGACAGGTGGGTATTCAGTCTCGGCCCTGTGTTACGAAGTGGGCACTATAGGCATAATATTAATTTAAAACATGCCTAAACAGTAGAACCCAAACTTAGCTTCTGGACTGTGATGGGAGGTGCAGGTCAGGTCAGGTTAGGTTGGGTTAGGTTGGGTTAGGTTGGGCGGTGGTTCTGAGGCTGGAGATCTGTGCCAGCAATCTGAGGGTGGCTGGTTTGAATCCTGTAAATGCTAGGAGTGATCCTGCTCTGTTGGGCCCTTGAGCAAAGCCCTTAACCTGCAATTTCTTTATCCTGGGTATGACGTTAATCTACATCCAGCCCTATAAGCAGGTCCTCCAACTTACAGGAGGAATTTGGGGGTTGGTGGCAGGATTGACACTCCAGCCACCAGAAAAATATCACACTGTTCCATTCCACTCAAACTAGCCTGGTGCTGAGGTATCGCCCGCCCCATGGCTGCACTGGGGTTCTCATCCCTGAGGTGGGTTGTCCTGTGAGGGTGTGGCAATGTGCTCTAATCAGTGCACCCCCCCACAAAGTGATACAGGAAATGTATCAGGAAAAATGCGGTACTAGAATAGTCTAGATGACTTTTTGTCATCCCCCCTTCTTCCCGATGTTGTCGCTGCTTAATTGAAGAATACTCTATCTATCCTGTGCAGGCAGACCCACGA